AAAGAGAAGCATCTTAGCTCTGCAAATTGTTATTGAATATGTCAATGCTGTTGTAATGAAATGCCTCTTCTAATCATTTGATTATGAAATAAATAATTAAAAAAATATTAATTTTCAAAGGTTCTAACAAAAATCTTTACCTTTCAATAAAATATATATGAAAGGGAGGAATGTCTCTTATCATTCAACAAGAGTTCTTTATAGTTAGAATACAATAGTTATTAAAAAACATGAAATAATTAAGATATAATTGGATTAGTTTTATTCCTTCTCATCTGCTTCTGGAATTTAATTCATTTCTAAATCTACCATTTCTCCTAATTTAGGAAGCATGTGCTCTCAAATTTAAAAATTATTAATATTTTTTTTAAATTCAGCATTGCATCTTTCCCTAAATCCATGAAGTCAGGTCCTGATATATTACCTATTCTAATCTTGATGCAAACCGAGCTACTGAGACTTATTTTAGGGCATCTGAGATGATAGAGAAACCTGAAGCCTAGAAAGTTTGGTTCAAATTATTCAATTTTTAAAATAAAGAAAATATTCACTACCCTTAAAAAGATGTATATCTAAAACGATTTATACATAGTTCCCAATTCATCTAAGAAATTTCAATTGGAGAGTGCTCAGAAAATGGGACTTTGAGGTAGAAACAATGGTATACAGTAGCCCTTACCTCCTGGAGGTGGCTTGCTTTTAGAGGTAAGGATGACAAAACCAAACCCTTCATTTCCTTTTCGCTGTAAGATAACATCATAGGCCTCCTGGGGGGCAGGTCTGGCTAGGAGATCTGCTTGTTTCAGGCGGGGAGATCCACTCTGTGTCGAAATGAAAGCTTGAGAGCCGTCATCCTCAGGTTGTTTCTCTATAATAAAAATAACCAGTTTTAATATTTCTGGAAAATGTTTTCTGCTAAGTAAAATGCTAAGCCAATTAAAATTTCATTTGTAATACTATAAAGAATAAAAATGTAGGGGCTAGACAGATGGCTCAGTGGTTAAGAGTACTTACTGCTCTTACAGTATGTAATAAATACATAAGACCCAATATTATTTCACTTTAAAGAAAGCTTTGCAAAGCTTCCATGAGATTTGATAGTATCAAAAAAAACAGAATTCTTTGGACAGTGAGATGGCTCAGTGAGGCACTTGCCATGGTGACCTGAATTCAGTCCCCAGAATCCTTATGGTAGAAGAAAGTCAACTTCTGACCTCCACACAAGCCTATGTGGACACACTTGCATATGCACACAATAAATAAATGTAATTAAGAAAAAATGTGAAAAACTACAAATAGAATTCTTGGGGGATGGAAAGCTGACTCGGCAGTTAAAAACACTGGTTGCTCTTGCAGAAGATCTGGGTTCAGTTCCCACCACCTACATGGTAGCTAACAATAGTTTGTAACTCCAGTTCCAGGGAATTCAACACCTTCTTCTGGCCTCCACAGGCATTGCACACATGGGTACACTTACATGCACACAGGCAAAATACTCATATACTTAAAAACAAACAAACAAACAAACAAACAGAATCCCAACATAGTACATTTATGGAAGATACATTTATAAATTCTCTTTTAACTCCATATTTATTTGAAGTTAAGACTATGTTACAGGATCTGGGAAAACAGCTCAGTTAATAAAGTGGTTGGGACCTGACTTAGATCTTGTAACATACAATTAAAAAAAAAAAAAAAAAAAAAGCCAAATATGGCCCAAACCTTTGCAGACTGCCTGACAGTGCCTGGATTCAGCCTCCACATGGTGGTGAGCTTCCCCAAATTGCACTGTGCACATCCCCCAACACTGGAATGACCTGCAGTCCATCCCATCACTCCAGGGCTTGGTTTCTCTCTCTCTGCCCTTTAGTAGGGGCCAAGACCTTTGCAGACTGCCTGAGAGGGCCTAAATCAGGCACCCCCTTAGCCAGCTTCGGAAATTGTGCTGTGACTGCTCACTAGTAGGGGTTCAGACCTTAGGAGGAAACTTGCGAGCACCTGACTGGCACCTGACTTGGGCCTCTGCAGGAGCTTCTGAATAGCTGAACTGAAGTCATCTGACCCCTTCGATATAAAATCAAAAGAGACAACCTCAAGCCTAGACCAACGAGCTTTACACACCCAATAAGAAAACAACCAAGACACACCAATAATACAAACAGAAACAGACTTCAACCCCACAAAGGAAGACTTGAGTTTCATATCAGAATCACAAACAACAAAAGAAATCCACATGCCAAAATCATAATGAAAAAATAATAGAGAAATCATGGTGTTTCATGAGAAACACCATGAGTCCTGAGACCTACAATGAGAACCCCCTAGAGATAGACCAGGACACAGAATTTAATAGAACAATCATAAACATGATCAAAGAATTCAACAAATTTAAAGAACACACAAACAAATTAAAGAACTAGAAGAAGAGAGGGATAAACTTCTGACTGAATTCACAAAAGAGATAGACATATTGGAGAAAACTCAGGCTGAAATGATGAAGGAAGTGAAAAATTCAATAAGCCAATTTGAAACAAAAGGAGAAAGCCTCACCAATAGAATGAATGAAATAGAAAACAGAATATCAACACTGGATGATAAAGTTGAAGAATTGGACCACTCAAGCAAAGATTAAGAAAAAAAAACCCACAGGAAATGTGGGACACCATCAAAAGACCAAATTTATGCATCATAGGCATAGAGGAAGGAGAAGTAGTTCAGGTTAATGGTACTGACCAGACCTTAAACAGGATTGTAGAAGAAATTCCCTAAAATTTAAGAAAGACATGCCTCTACAAATACAAGCACAAAGAACACCAAATAGGACCAGAAAAGAAACTCCCCATGGCATATCATAGTAAAAACACTAAATGTACAGAACAAAGAAAATACTGAAAGCTGTGAAAGAAAAACAAGTCACATCAGAATTACAGATGACTTATCAATGCAAATTATGCAAGCCAGAAGAACCTGGAACAAAGTATTCCCAGTTCTAAATGACCATAGATGCCAACCTAGAATACTTTACCCAGCAAAAATGTCTTCTATAGTTGAAGGGGGAAGAAAAATCTTCCATGACATGAATAGGCTGACAGAATACGAATATATGTCCACCAAACCAGCCCTTCAGAGAATACTTTAAGCAATACAAAGAATGGAAAAAAGGAACAACTATACTCCAGGGGCAACAGAAAGAAACTAAATGAAGGTATAATTGTGGAAACATAAAATTGCATCAAGAATGCAAACAGAAATTAAAATGACAGCAACGAATACACAACTTTCAATAATAACTTTAAATATCAATGGACTGAACTTCCCTGTCAAAAGACACAAGCTAGTTGAAAGGATTAAGAAACAAAATGCGTCCTTTTGTTGTCTGCAAGAAACGTATCTTACCTTCAAGGACAGGCACTACCTTTAAAGTGAAAGGATAGAAAAGAATATTCCAAGCACACGGCACTAAGAAACAATCAGGGTTGCAATTCTAATATCTGAAAAAATAGACTTCAAAATAAAACTAATCAGAAGAGAAAAGAGGGTCACTTAATTCTGATCAAAGGAACAGTTGACTAAGAAGATATTACAACCATGAACATATATACACCAAGCTCTGGTGTACCCAATTTCATAAAAGCAGTACTACAGGACGTTAAGACACAGATTAACCCCAACTCAGTAAAAGCAGGGGACTTCAATACCCCATTGTCTCTAATGTAGACAATGGGGTATTGAAATAATAAAAGAATAAACAGAGAGACATCTGAATTAAATGGTACCATACATCAAATGGACCTAACAGACATCTATTGAATATTCTACCCAAGAACCCAAAGAATACACTTTCTATTCAACACCCCATGAAACTTTCTCTAAAACTGACCACATAAACCAGGGCACAAAACAAACATCAACAAATACAAAAAAATAACTGAAATAATTCCATGCATTCTATCAGACCACAATGTAATAAAGCTTAAAATCAACACTGAAAGAAGCCCTAGTAACTATAAGAACTCATAGAGATTAAATAACATAATCCTGAATTGTGAATGGGTCAAAGAAGAAACTAAGAAAGAAATAAAAGTATTCCTGAAATTAAACAAAAAGGATAATACAACACAACAAAACCTCTGGGACACTTCAAAAGCAGCTCTAAGAGGGAAGTTTACAGCTCTAAGTGCCTACATTAAAAAAAAAACAAAACAGAAAGAGTACAAATAAATGACTTGATAGTACAACTCAAGATTCTGGAAAGGCAAGAACAAATGAAACCCAAACCCAGAAGAGGAGAAAAAATAGCAAAAATCAGAGCAGAAATTGATGAAATAGAAACAAAGAAAACAATACAAATAATCAATGAATCTAAGAGCTGGTTTTTTGAAAAGCCAAACAAGATAGACCCTTAGCCCAGTTAACCAAAAGAAAGAAAAGAGCAAATGCAAATCAGCAAAATCAGAGATGAAAGACCTCAATGTGAAACACAACAGATACCAAAAAGATCTAGAACATTACAAGGGAATACTTTAAAAAAACTTGAAAGCCTAAAAGAAAATGATGAATATCTAAAATTATGTAACTCATTAAATCTAAAACAAGAAAAGACTAACAGTTTAAACAGACCCATAACATATAAAGAAATTGAAACAGTAATAAAAAACCTCCTAACTCAAAAGATCCCAGGCCCATTTAAAGACGATCTACAACAAATACTACTTAAATTATTCAAAAAGATAGAAACAGAGTGTGCTGAATAGCTATTTGTCAACTTGACACACCCAGGTAGAGGGAACCTCAATTGGGGCATTTCCTCCATTGGACTGGCCTGTGGCCATATCTGTGGGGCATTTAATTGACTGTTGAGTGATGTGGGAGGGTCCAGCCCACTGTGGGTGGTACCACACCTGGGCAGATTGTCCTGTATTGTGTAAGGAAGCAGGTTGAGCATAGGCCAGGGGAGCAAGCCAGTAAGCAGTGTTACTCTATGGTCTACTCCAGCTCCTGCCTCCAGGTTTCTGCCCTGAGTTCCTACCTTGGGCTCCTTGATGGATTGTGACCTGGGGTATGTAAGTCAAATAAACCTTTCCCTCCCCAAGTTGGTACTGGTTAGAGTATTTTGTCACAGCAATGGAGAAACTAAAACAGAGGGAGAACTCCTTCTATGAAGCCAGCATCACTCTAAAATCAAAACCAGATAAAGACACACCAAAAAAAGAAAACTAATAGACCCATATTTTTAATGAACATAGATGCAAAAATTCTCAACAAAATACTTGCAAACCGCATACAAACATCGAAAAGACCATCCACCATGATCAAGTAGGCTTTATTCCAGAGACGCAGGGATGGTTCAATATGCATAACTCAATAAAGAAGAAAGCAGAAAAGGCATTTGACAAAACTCAGCATTCATTCATGATAAAAGTCCTAAAGGGAATTGGACTGGAGGGCACATAACATAATTAAAGCTATATATACAAACTCACAGCCAACATCATTCTAAATGGAAAAAAACCCAAAGCATTCCCATTAAAATCAGGAACCAGACAAGGATGTCCACTATCTTTACTCCTTTATTTTTTAAAATTTTTGTTTTTATTTTGTCTTTTTGAGACAGGGTCTCCTTGTAGCCCCAGCTGTCCTGGACCTCATTATGTAGACCAGGCTAGCCTCGAACTCAGAAAGATCCGCCTGCCTCTGCCTCCCAAATGCTGGGATTAAAGGCATGTGCCACCACGCCCAGCAATTTCACTCCTTTTTAATACAGTACTTGAAACTCTTGCTAGAGCAGTAAGACAAAAGAAGAAAAGGAAACAAGTACTAATTGGAAAAGAAGAGGTCAAACTACCCCTTTTTGCAGATGATATA